GCCTGGAGCCTGCTTCCGATTCTCCATCTTCCCCTCTCTCTGTCCCTCTCCTCCTCATGTTCTGTCTCTCGAAAATAAATAAACACTACAAAAAACTTTTTTTTTTTAAAGTATAATGAGGACTTGAAAAGGAGCAGAATGAGCCAAGTGCTAACCCAGTCTAAGGGCAAGGAAGTCTTCCCCAAGGCAGTGACTAACATCTGCAGGATGAGTGGGGGTGGGCCAGGGGAAGGGGGCAAGGAACAGAGGGAAGAGTGTTTCTGGAGAGGGAGCGGCATGTAGGAATCCCAGAGCTCAGAAGAACATGGCTCTTTCAAGGAACCTTGCTAGGAGGGCGGTGTGGCTGGAGCAGAGTGAGGAAGGCAGAAGACAGGGCCGTGGGGCAGCGAGAAAAGGACTCAGGGAAAGACTGTAGGGTGAAAGGAAAGCTTTCTGAGACTTCAAGTTGGTAAACGCCAGCAATTACAGCTGTAGGAGGTCATGGAAGACGAGGGAAGAGAGTTTTGAGGCATAGGAAGTAGCCGATATGGGTCAGTGAGGCCAAGAAGGGAATTAAGATATAAGGACTCGCACTGGGCAGCTGGGAGGCCATCAGTGGAGACCCCCATGGAAGCAGATGCGCAGATCTTGGCTCAGGTCATGATCTCATGGTTCCTGGGATCGAGTCCCGAGTTGGGCTCCAAGCTGTTGCGCAGAGCCTGCTTGGGATCTCTCTCTCTGTCTCTCGCTGCCTCTCCCCTGAGTGTGTGGGTGTGCACACGCTCAAACATGCACTCTCTCTCTCAAAAAAAAAAAAAAAGAAGAAGAAGAAGAAGAAGCCAGCCTCCTGGGGGGACAAACGGACTCACGTGTCCTCCAGCCTTCTGGCCCAGTCTTGTGACTCTCTCCTCTTCACAGCCGAGCCTCTCCAAACGGAGGTCTCCTCCCCTCCCTGTCTCCATCTCATCACCTCTTCTCCTTCTTCTTAAATGTTTATTTGTTTAGTTTGAGAGAGAGCATGTACCAGCATGGGGTGAGGCTCAGAAAAAGGAGAGAGAGAGAGAGAGAAAGAAAGAGAGAATCCCAAGCAGGCTCCACACTGTCAGCGCAGAGCCTGACAGGGGGCTTGATCCCCCGAACTGATATCATGACATGAACCAAAATCAAGAGTTGGACGCTTAACCGACTGAGCTACCCAGCCGCATCTCCATCCCCTCACCTCTAAGTCTGTCCTCAACTCTCTGCATTCTGGTTTCCATCTGCTCAACAGCTCAGAGCCCAACTTGGGACTCGATCCCAGGAACCATGAGATCATGACCTGAGCCAAGATCAAGAGTCAGATGCTTAACCGACTAAGCCACCCACCTGCCCCGAGCCTGGCTTCTTAATATACATTTATTACACTGAACTACACTGACGGGGAGCTTGCAGATAAGGGAGAGGACAAGTGACAGAATTAGGCACTGGGAGGAGGCAGCGTGGAGAGCTGGAGTAGCATCTTGAAAGGAGACGGGCTTGTCCTTCCTTAAAATGAATGGAAAGAGGGCGGCCATCTTCGGAGGCGGACTGTGGAATGGAAGGTGTGGGTTGGAAGGGGGCCCTTGTACGGATTCTAGGGTCACAGGATGAAGCACTTGCACACTTGTATTCTCTTCAGAGGATTGGGGGGTTAGCTCTGACTCCAGTTTATGGCTTTATCTGGAAACAATAGCTAGCCTACTCCAAGTATGGTGGACACTTATCACTGCTTTTATGTCTGGGGGCTGAGAACAAGGTAAGTCAGCAGAGAAAGCCATGTGTCCTTTGAGGAATAGCCACTCACTGGGCACAGAGAGAACATAACTTGCCATCAGTGTGTACACATTTTAGAGAGAGGGTAGCCCAAGTAACTGCAAGATCCTTCCTGGACCACCCTAGCAGATAACGTAGTTTTACCACAGCAGCCTGAACACCTTTCAATTCTTCCAAACAGCTTTCTCCTGGTTTTTTTTTTTTTTTAAGTTTATTTGAGAGAGAGAGAAAGAGAGAGAGAGAGTATACCTGAGCACGCGTGGGGGAGGGACAGAGAGAGAGGGAGAGAGAGAATCCCAAGGAGGTTTTGCACTGTCAACACAGAGCCAGACGCAGGGCTCGATCCCACTAACTGTGAGATTATGACCTGAGCCAAAATCAAGAGTCCGATGCTTAACTGACTGAGCCACCTGGGCACCTCTCTCCTGTTCTCTGTGTGTCCCTGAGGGTGCTAGGCTGTTGCACGTACATTATCTCAAACCCTCAGAACCCTGCTAGGGAGGTGGTGTTGATCCCATTTTGCTGATGGAGAAAGCACAACTCAGAGGGGTGAGTGACCTGCTGAAGGTCACTAATCGGTAGTCAGCATTCAAACCCAGGCTAGGCTGAGCGCTTTGCACACCAGTGGTTTTGAATTTTGCTCAGGGGTGGGGAGGGGGCGGTCACTGTGTACCACCATCTGTTCCTCTCCGTGTCAGCCAGGTTTACACGTGGGGCTTTGAGGTAAGCTTTGTGAGAGCAAATTCTACGGAGGAAACAAAAATTTGAAAGCCACGGCTCTCCACAGGGTTCTTTGAACTTGTCAGCTGAAGCATGGCTTTTCTTGAAGCATTTCTCCAGAAACGCTTGGCTTGTGTGATGCTCCACGCTCCCCTCCCCCCACACCACAGTCTCCCTGGCACACCCATCCTCCATGTGACTGCCAGAGTGACTTTTTGAAAATCCCATTGGGTTACTCCTCTGCTTGGAAACCTTCTATGGCTCCCGGCTACCTTTAGGTTAACATCTATGTTCCTCTCCAAACATGACCTTTGAGACCCTTGGTGCTCTGAACCGCCACCCACTTCTCCAGCTTTTGCCCCAAACTACTCCCCGGCTCCCACCTTCCTGCCAGACCTGCGGATTTACATTTTTGGTACTTGCCTTATTCTCCCAACATAACTCCTCTCACCAACGCCGCAGGCACTCCCGGAGCCTGGGACCCCGCCTTACCTTCCTCCCTTGGAAAAGCCCTTCCTGCACCTTGCGCCTGGGTGGGGCCACCAGAAGCTCTCGCACTCACCTGTCACAGCCCTGCTTCTGTCACCTCTCCTCAGCCAGAACGCAGATTTGCATCATCTGCTTAGCTCCCCGGGAAAGCAGTTTCTCAGGGAATTTGTTCCTTCTCTTGGGGTAAGCATACCAGTCTTGCCTCAAACAGCATACCAGGAATGCCAATGGCTTGATGTTAGGCATGGAGACTTTTCAGCAAGGGAGTTTGTCCCCTGCAGCCAAACCTCAATTTTACATGGAGGAGGTAGGCTGGGCAGTATCACATGATGAGAAAAAGCTGTGCGGAGGAATCGCTGACTTTGGGAGAAACTCTACAAAGTGCTCTCAAATCTTCCGGCTGACTGGGGCGGGCGGGGGGGGGGGTTCATTTCGGGAAAAGCGGGCCAGACGCGCGTCTCAGGTCCTCAGATTTGCTGATAGTTAAGATGCTTGGGGTCACACATTTCCCACGAAGATGGGACTACTGTTCTAACTGTCCTCTGAATGTTGGGCAGTTGCACAAGCCGATCTTCCCTCCAAGCCAGGAGCCGGCCCGCAGCCCCAGGGGCTGGGCAGGAAGGCCCCGCCCCCACAGCCTTCACCAAGCCCAACCCACCTTGGCGGCTGTCAAGGGCGGGGGGCGGGGAGGGGGAACCCACAGCCCTGCATCAGTTACCCAATGTGCATCTACAAAATGGGCATGGGGGCGGAGTGGGTTGTGCCAGATGCTGATGCCAACTGCAGGCATCCAGGAACTGTTCACCCTTTCAGACATCGAAGAAGTTCATCGAGAACAAAAAGTTATTGCTGCATCGCGCTGTACATGTGTTTTAGGGTGCCGTTCCTAGAAACCGGTGACCAGCCGAAAACGTAGGCAGGGAGGGTTTGGATCATTTTATGGATGACCAGAACCCGGTGGGTTATTAAGGGAAGATTGTAACGTTTCCAGCATAGAGGAGGTAACAGAGAGGGGCAAACCGGGGGAGCCAGGCAGAGGTGGAAACCAGGGTGGATGAGCTCAGGGTGGACTTTCTGCATTCTGTCAGGGCTCAGCGTCTCCCTGGTGTTCAAGGACGGGGAGGGGAGGGCTGGGGACACAGCAGTGCATTGCAAGGGCTGTCCAATCTTCCAGGGATACAGTGCTATTTTGAAAATGCACTGTTCTCTAAGGCAGCACAGGTCCCTAGCCACCAACGACTTTTCTCTCCTTTCAGCCAAAGTAAACCCTCCTGTATTCTACTCGCTTCATACACAATTTCTGAATGGGAGCAAGCTTCCAAACTATAACTGATCTATTACATGTCATGAAAAAGTAATGTTGATGATTAAAGAAGCGCTATCTTGGCGCGCCTGGGTGGCTTAGTCGATTAAGCGTCCGACTTTCGCTTAGGTCATGATCTCGCGGTTCGTGGGTTCAAGCCCCGCGTCGGGCTCTGTGTTGACTGCCAGCTCAGAGCCTGGAGCCTATTTCAGAGTCTGTGTCTCCCTCTCTCTCTGACCCTCCTCTGCTCATGCTGTCTCTCTCTCTCCTAGAAATAAAAAAAATTTAAAAAAAAAAGCTCTATCTTGAAAAAAAGTGTCAGTGGGTGTGTCTCCTGGGAGGGCAGAAGTCCAGGTAAATTACATGACTCACCACCAAGTATCAGAAACGTACATACACTTGCAAATTTTTTTTCCTTTTCCCACCCCTCTGCCCCCTACAGACCACTCCTCGGGGATAAGACTTGTTCGAGAGCCAGACCTAACCGCCAAAGAACCCGGGAGACAGGCAAACTGTAAGAGCCAAGGTGAAAGGAGCTCCTTCCAGTGCACGGCTTGGCCATCTGCTGTGGGAACGAAGTCCGGAGCCGCTCGGATCACTAGCTCCTGGCCATGGGTTGGTGAACTCTTCCCTGCAAAAGTAGGAAGCTTCCCGCACTCTGTGGTTAATGGGGGGGGGGGGGGGAAAGTCACTCAAGGGACAGCTTTGTCATGCGAAAGGAAAACATACTCCGCTTTAATATGTTTAAGAAGTCATCCGTGATACATTAGCAAAAGTACCAGTAAAGCCTGGATGTGTCAGGAGCAGGCTGGGGGGAAGGGTGACTCTGCCCCCAGAAATAGCCTAGTCAAACCTTCGGTTAGGTGTTTCCTCTGTTATCAGTGTTTTACAGTGTTAACTCGTTCTTCTAGCAAGTGCTTCCTAATAAACCCAGGGCTTCTGCCTGCCCAGAAATGACTCTTGGAAGTGTAACTCTTCATCTCCCAAGCAGGACTGCCTTCCCACTCCCAACTCCTTCCTTAGTCCCGTAGTTTTGGGACTCTGGCGTCTGGGCAGCTCGGTCTTTGCTCCTTCTCTCTCTTTCTCTCTCTTTCTCTCTCTCTCTCTCTGTGAGGGTACCCTGGTCCCCAGGTCTCCTGGCCGGTGGCTGTAGGAGAGACCTGGGGCAGGTACCTGAGACAAACCCGGAGGGGGTCCGCTGCTTGCAGGACCAGCGCATTGGGCTGCCTGCGACCCGAGCTGCCGCCCCGTCGGGTGGGGCCTGAGGCAACCCGAGACCGAGGCCTCGACGCGGCGCCGCCGGCCCTCCGTGCTCTCCAGCCTCTCTGTCGCCCTCACCGGTCTTGGAAGAAGGGGAATATTTGGCGGAAAAGGCCCTGAAGTTGCGCCACCCGGCTGCCCGCGTAGTCCTTCTCCTTTCGGGGCGTGCAGTTCTTCTCCACTGCGGTCGCGCCCACCGCGCTCGGGGTCCGTCGCAGCGTCCACGCGGCGGTGGCGCCGCTGCTGTTGTTGTTGGCGTTCTTCCGCCCTCTGCTGCTCGCGGTCTCCCAGTCCTCGGCCCCCGACAGCTCCCGCAAGCTCCGGGGCGCGTCGGGCCGCAAGTAGTGACAGGCCCGGTGGCCGCTGTAGTCGCGGCGCGTGGGGTCGGCCCCCAGGGCGCCCACCAGCACCTTGATGACCATGTCGTGGCCCTGCAGGGCCGCCAGGTGGAGGGGCGTGAGGCCGCCGCTGCCCGAGGCGCTCACGTCGAGCTGCAGCCCCCGGCGCTGGGCGAAGTCGTACACCAGGATGAGCTCCTCGTGGCACCCGTGCTTGGCCAGCCAGTGCAGCACCGTGTAGCCCGTGATCGGGTCGCACCGCAGCAGCAGCCCGGGCTCGGCTTCCAGCTGCTCCCACAGCACCTCAAGGCGGCCCTCAGCGGCCGCCAGCATCCACGCGTGCTCGTGGGGCTCCAGGCACAGCCCGCCGCCACCCCCCGGCCCGCTGGTCCCGGCCGGAGACGGCTCCTCGGCGCGCTCCTCCGACAGCCGGCTGGCGGGGGCCGCCCCCTGCAGCCCCAGCAGCTCCCGCAGCGCCCCGCGCCGGCGGCTGGTGCCCGTTCCCGAGAGCATCAGCGAGCCGTGCAAGAGGGAGTCCCGGGAGGCGGCGGCGGCGGCGGCGGCGGCGTGGTCCCGGTACCTGCCCAGGCTGCCGGTGTCCACTCTCGGGAGGCGGGGTGGCGCGGCGCTCCGCGAGCTCGGCGCCGCGATGTCCAGGGAGGCCTTGGGCCCCGGGTTCGCGGCCCCTCGGGGCTCGGCCATGGTCCGGCCGCTGGCGTCGCAGCGCTTCCAGTGTCGAGCGGTCGCTGCCCTTCCCGGGCCCCTCCGGCAGAGGAACTGGCGCCGCCGTTGGGGAAGGAAGCAGCTTGAGCAATTGGGCTCGGAGGGAGGGAGCAGAGGAGGGGAGAGGGAGGGAGAGAGGCTGCGAGCCGAGGGAGGGCCCGGCGCGGGAGGTGTGTGGGGTGGGGTGGCGTGGAAGGGTGGGAGCTCGGGCCGGGTGCGCGGGGCAAGCCCCTCTAGCGCCGCGTGGGTACCGCCGCCCCCTCCACGGCCCCGAGTCGCGCGCGGCCCCGCCCCAAACGGCCAGGTGAGCCGGGCAGCCCCGCCTCCCGCACCGCGCGCTCCGGGGGGAGGGGCGCGGGCGAGCGCGCCGGGCCGCCGCCGCCGCCTGCGCTCGCAAGCTGCCCGGCAGCTCCGCCGCCGCGGCCCGCGGGCGGGTCGGCAGCCCCGCCGCGGCTGGGGCGAGGCGGCTCGAGGGCGCCCCCTCCCCGGCGGGCCGAGCTCGGCTCGCAGCCAAGGCCTCCGCGAGCGTGAGCCTTGAGCTTCAGGGCGCTGGCTCCCCGCCCCCTTCCTTCGCCTTTCCCTCTTATCTCCTCGGGAGTCTCCCTGCACTTTGTCCCTGAGCCGCCGTCGGCCCGCCCCTAGCACTCACGGAGGCGGCCGGCGACCTGGGCTCCCTTCTCTTGCCCTTCGCGTGGCCTTGGCCTTCCCCGCCGGGCCTCGAGCTGTCCGGGATTCCTGCAGAGGTCCAGGCGGAAGCTCTCTCGGGGACCCGAGAAGGGCCATCCCCCACCCCCGCGGGTCCCTGCTCGGCTCCCCGCCCTCTCCACCTCTTTCACCGATCCCGAGTTGGCTTGAAGAAGCAGGCGCAGGTGAATCAGTCAGCTGCCAGGGCAACGCCCTGTCCTCCCCAGAGACGTGGCCTTGTTGTCTCCCTGGCGATGTTTGACCTTCCTTCCCTCAAATGAGTGGTAGTTCTCGCCGCCTGCCCCCTCCCCAGCGTGTTAGGGAGTTCACTTACTGGGCAACGGGGAGCCTCATCGAAGCTTCTTGAGTCAAGAGGGACACAGCCATGATTAAAGTGGTGTTTAAGGAAGGTGAGTCAGGGAGAGGCAGAGGCAAGAAGCCAGGAGACTGTCCCAACAGTCTAGGCCAAAGGGGACGGGGGCTGCGGCCAAGGCAACCCACTCCACTGGGCCCAACGACGCCGGAAGGTGTGAGAGGATCTTCCTCCTTGACCCTCAACTATTTTGCCCTGCGTATTTTGAGATTTCCTTCCCGACAGCCCATGCATGCGTCATAGATTTTTGAACGTTTATTATGGGCCAGACGCTGTACTAGATGCTTGATAGATATTAACTCTTTTAAGCCTCAAAAGCTTAATGACCTCAAAAGCTAAGCCTCATTGCTGCTCCGGGTTTGCAGAGAGGTTAGACCACTTGCTCAAGGTCACCCAGCAGGAAGTGGCCAAGCAGGTCTGGGTGACACCACAGTCTTTGTCCCAGCACCGCACCACCGTGGGACTGGCATTCAGGCCAGGCTTATCAACTGCAAATCACTCACACAAGCCCCCAGTTCCAGCCCAATGGACGGACTTGTCCTAACCTGAGCATATTTTACAGTTGCCTTCCTCTTCTAGAATGCCCTCCCTCAGAGCTTCTGTCCAGGGAAGCTCTCCCTGTCCTTTGATGTCCACCTCAGTTTCCACCTTCTCCGGTGTGCGTTCTCTCATTACCCCAGTCCAGAGTGATCACTGTCCCTCTCCCAACTAGCTGTTGGCATTCCTCCTGTGATACCCAGCGCCTGTGGTCTGTTTCCTTCCCCGTGCTCTGACATGTCAATTAAACTCTAACCTCTTCAACGACTGTCATACTATCCTTGTTCTGGTTTGGCAGCCTGGGGAAATGTGATTGTGTGTATATGCGGAGGGGGGGGGTTGGGGGGAGGCAGTGTGTGTTGGGGCAGGTGCCCACTCCCACCTCCCTGCCTCAGACTGAGCCTGCAGGACCCCAAAACTGACTCGTAGATTGCGTCAATTCATAAAAAAAAAAAAAAAAAAAAAAACCACATAAAAAAAGCCCAGCGATCAAGTGGTTGCTTGACCGAGCCCGCTAGCCAAAGCCACCTCCTGGCCTTTGCTGGCTCCTCAGCGACCTGGCCCAGGCCCGGAGTGGGCCCCAAGCGTTCAGGCTTTCATTTTCAAAATGAACCCTGACTGACAAGCAGCTACTTCCGTCGCTCTGGAAACTCCCCTCCATAACCCCAAATTTGTAAACACCAAACCACACACAGGCACGCACGCTTACAGAATATGCAAACAGCTGCAGCAGTATTTTTTTTTTCATCAAAATGCCAGCATGGAGAATGCTTGGACTATTAATTTTCCTCGTCACTAAGCAGGCAATTCCCTTCCCTATTGGCACTAATAATATCTCTGGTTACAGTCCAAAGGCTGCAAAGGCGGTCCCCTGACCAATGCCACACACCCATGACGCATGTGCCCTTGCTTAGTTGGCTCTTGTTGCCAGAAACCAAACCCACAGTACCTCCCTAGCAACTCGTTCCATCTTTACTTAGCTACTTTACTTCCTACCCTAGGTCACCAGCTGCCTTCATGGGTCCCCAGAGTCATAGCACACTCTCCGGTTCAAGAGAGAGGGTTTCTGGAATTTCACGGCTGGGAGTGGGTAGAGGACGCAGAGCGCAGAAAGGACAGTACTCACCTTCCTAAAGAAGATGCCCGTCCCCCCCACCCCAGCCCAGGTGACTGCTCACCCCCAAAGGGAGTGGGGCTAAACCCCCTCAAGCCCTTGGAAACAATCTCCTCCGAAAAGTACTTTCAGGGAGGGTATTTGCATTTCAAATGACGATGCCTGGTGGCTTTCGTAAATACCCTCGCTGGTGCATTTGTGGGTTTGTTTACAGATCCTGGACCATTTGACCTACAACTTCATATTTTGTTGGTTGTTTCTTCATTTTTCAGCTGTGGTTGACCTGTCAGGAAGGATGGCAGGAGGCGAAGAAAACCAAAGGTGAGGTTCTAGGCGACTTTTCAGGAACACAATCCTGGGGGTGAAGCCAAAGGCACATGTATCTTTGGTCCCCAGTGGGCTTTGCCAGTGAAGCTTACAGATTTATAGAAAAATCCATAGCTGCAAAACAGGCAAGAGGGGAACATGTGGAATATGGGGAGGAAAGTCCCTCCGGCGTCCATAATCCTTGCGGATGGAGGGGGCAGGGATCATTCTAGAAGTGCTAAATATACACTAGGTTTCCTTTCTTCCGGAGACCTGTGTTAATATCATTACATGATTCTCAATAGAGAAAGCCATGAGAGAAAGGGCCTTTCCCGCTGAGCCAAAGAATGTGTGGCTGTGTGCGAATGTGTGTGCACGCGCGCGAGCGAATGCTTGAGTGTGTGTGTGTGTGTGTGTGCGCGCGCGCGCGCGCGCGCGCGCCCACCGCCGGGCGTAACTGTCTCTGGTTGTCATTTCCCCCTCTCCACGTGTCAGGACTTTAGCTGAGGGTACCCCTGTGAAAAGTTTCACATTCTGAGTACCTTTTCCTTAGACGATAGAACAAATCACATTTAGTGACCACTTTAAAAATTCTTTCCTACTACTTTGGAATTACTCCCCCCCCCACCCCCACCCCGTCCTTCAGTAAGGTGGGAATGTACGTTTAAACAACATTTTTTTAAAAATGTTTTTATTCATTTTTGAGAGACAGAGTGCGAACAGGGAGGGCCAGAGAGAGTGAGGTAGACGCAGAATCCGAAGCAGGCTCCAGGCTCCGAGTCGTCTGCACAGAGCCCAATGCGGGGCTCGAATTCACAAATCGTGAGATCATGATCTGAGCTGAAGTCCAACGCCCAACGGACTGAGCCACCCATGGGCCCTGGGATGTACATTTTGGGGAAAAAAAATTATGCTCTTACTCTGGGAGCAGGGGAAGCTTGGAATAGGAGAAGGAGGTAGGACCAAGTTGATCTGTGAACAATGAGACCAAGGGTTTTTCAAAATGGCTGAGGAGGAAGGGGCGTGCCAGGAGCAGAAAGAAATCTTTAGGCTCAGGCCCTGGCGCAAATAGGAAACTTCCTAAGACTTGGGCTGCAATGGCTTAACTGGAGTCCACGTGTCAAGCATGGGCCCTGAAGTGTGACGAGAGAAAAAAAAAATTTCCATTACACATCTGATACTGCTTTGAAAATGTCACATCCCGGACGTTTCCTCGAAGTATTACCACGCGGACACACACGAGGGCGCTCTAACCAACCAGAGACGGAGAGAACCAGAAAGGTCGCACAGATTTCCAGGGGGTGGGGGGGGATGGTGGGGAAGAGGCCTTGCAGGTCCTTTGTTGATGTGGATTCAAGTTTTCAGCTCGATTCCTCACCCCTGGCCGTTAAAAAGTAGATGCACACCATGGAATACTACATGGCAATGAGAAACAATGAAATCTGGCCATGTGTAGCAACATGGATGGACCTTGAGGGTGTTATGCTGAGTGAAATAAGTCAGGCAGAGAAGGACAAATACCATATGTTTGCACGTATAGGAGGATTAGGAGGAACTTGACGGAGGAACAAGGGGGAGAAGAAGGGCGGAAATGGTGGGGGAAAGGGAGAGAGGCAAACCATGAGAGACTTTTTGTTTTTGTTTTTGTTTTTGTTTTTGTTTTTTAATTTATTTCTAGGAGAGAGAGAGAGACAGCGTGAACAGGGGAGGGTCAGAGAGAGAGGGAGTCACAGACTGAAACAGGCTCCAGGCTCTGAGCTGGCAGTCAGCACAGAGCCCGACGCGGGGCTCGAACCCACGAACCGCGAGATCATGACCTGGGCGAAAGTCGGACGCTTAACCGACTAAGCCACCCGGGCGCCCCGAGAGACTCTTGAATGCTGAAAAAAAACTGAGGACTGATGGATGTGGGGGGGAGGAGGGATGGGCATGGAGGAGGACACTTGTGGGGATGAGCACTGAGTGTTATGTGGAAACTAATTTGACAATAAACTATTTGTAAAAAAAAAAATAAAAGAAAAATTAAAAAAAAAAGATGCACAGAAGGAAGTGCAAGCATCAGGGGCTGTGGTGAGAAGTCCAGGGTGTCACCTTGAAGAGAATGTGAGCGATCTGGAGAGAGGAGGAGGGTGAACAGAGCA